CCTCATTCTACTTCTCTAAACATGTAGAACAATTCTAGGGGTCCTCCACATTCTATATGAGTCATGTGGTGGTTATAAAAATAAAGAAAAAGTTGTTATAAGGTTATTACCTTAATCACCACATTTTTTCCTCCCTTTTTCTTCCTTAAACCCTCTTCTTGGACTTCCTTGAGCTCGAGCTCGGGTTTGGATCTATGGAGATGAAGGTTGCAGAGCTCCTCTCTCCTCTCTTGTTTACTTGGCTGAAATTATGGGTGTAAGGGGTAGGGGTGTTTCCTCCTTTGTCTTACTTGACAATAATGAGAGGGAATGAGGCTCACCCCTCATTTGATACCAATCCCTTCAGCATCAACCCAGCCACCTACAGGTTGTCCGGCCACTTCATGTCCATTTTTAGACCCAAAAACGTGGGTTGGCCCCCACTTATGTGGGAGGTCAACCCTTTGTGTCCCGGAGTGTACAATCGGCCCCGCAAGTTGTATTTTCCGGACTGTTTTAATTATATTTAATTTTATCGGGTCAAATAAAATATAACACTTGTTCCCAATCCTTATTGGACCTTAGAATCAATATTCATTCCCCAACTTATTTTAGAAGTCTCCGAAATCCTTTTTTGGGCTATTATCCGATAAATTCCCGATAGTGATAATTTGGCCCCATTTCACCAACCGGTCAACCCTACGCCATTGCCATGGCCCAATTAGGATATCCACCACCATATACATATTATCTAAGCCCGGATTAATATAATATGTGGTCCCGACAGTACCGGGCGGCCCCCACTTCCGGTGTGAGCTCCACGTGAATTTTACTATTCACGTAAAAGAAATGATAGAAATTTACAACCACGTAAAAATGCTTTTATTCATTTTTCAGGGTTCAATACATAATTTAGTACAGTACAAATACTCGGGAGCGGTGTTACATGACATCAAGAAAGAAGGTGAGATTATCTTTCAACAAATTCGTTCAATTGACAATGTTGCAGACTTATTTACCAAAGCTCTTCTAACGACAACCTTCAAGAAGTTAGTGCACCTGATCACATTACGCTGATGCAAGGATTTTGAGTGATATATTCATTGGGGGGGGGGGGTAAATACGTGTTGTACTCTTTTTTCCTTGCCAAGGTTTTGTTGGCAAGGAAAAAAGAGTAGTTGAGGCATACAGGTACACATGTTGAGCCGTGGAGCAACAACTTTTCAATTTTTTTGAAAGGACTTGTACTCAACATCTATGATTATTGCGCTTTGTCGATTGGTCTTCCGTCCGAAAAGATATGAATTTCAATCCGTCATTAGTTTGAAGAAACACGCCTATCAACTCGTCATCTTTGTCTGACAGAACGCATATATCAATATGTCATCTATCTCACGGAATGCTTTCGTCGCCTTGCTTCTGATTGAATCTATCAAGTGACTAAGACGATATGGTTGTGTCAAACGTTGTAATTTGTAATTTCGTCCATGTTGATATTGACGTTTCGGTTTGGCAATGATGACTTCGTCCCTTGTTGAGCGGGTGACATGTATAACTCCAAGACTGTTCCCAATGTCTTGCAAAAATATTAAACACTATTCCGTTTGTATTGTCAACCTAAACACGAGTGTTTAGGGTTGGTTTCGATGTCATTCGTGTCGATGTCATTAGTGTCGTCTCCTTCTGTTTTGGAGTTTCTCATTGTTTGTGTTATGCTTTTGAAGCATTCATTTTTTGTAGTGTTTCTATTGTATAGTTATGGCCAAAACGTTTGTAGAGAATCTGTGGTGTTTGCACTCATCTTTATAAGAGGTGAAAACCCACTTCTTCCCTTGTAAGCCCCGTCATTTATTCTTTGACATTTCCGCAAGGTTTATGTGATCCCCGTCATTTATGTTTTGACGTTTCTGTAAGGCTTTTAATTATGTAAACTCCGTCATTTGTGTTTTTTACGTTTCTGTAAGGCTTTGTTTGACGTGTGTCAGGACATCGTCCTCGTCGTTGTTGACTATTCCTGTATAAAAAGAAGTTGTCAAGGCTCACATTGGCTAGAAGTCAACGGTCCTTAGATGCTTAAGTTAGTGATCATTTATATATAAAGGAAAGTAGGAAATTAAGAATGAAACAAATTTAAATGTACCACATTCCGACTTGTTATAACCTGTCTGCCGTCTTGAACTTTATAGCAATATGTTTCCGTCCGACGATTTGAATCATCTCGTCCGGTCCATTCCTTCATGGTCTGACGAGTCGTTCCCCGGGTCTTGAATAGGGTTTACGGCTTATCTCTGCCGTCTTGAACTTCATAGTAATATGTTTCCATCTGACGATTTGAATCATCTTGTCCCGTCCATTCCTTCACGGTCTGACGAGTCGTTCCTCGGGTCTTGAATAGGGTTTACGTCTTATCAGAACCTATCTGCCGTCTTGAACTTCATAGTAATATGTTATTGTTTCCATCCGACGATTTGAATCATCTCATCCGGTCCATCCTGTCTGGTAGTCATGTCTATAGTAAGGGTCTGATTTCTCATGCCCCCATCATGAAAACTATGAACAACTTTGTTTGCTTTGTCAGGTGAAAGATGAATGTAATACAATCCTGGTTTTGACCTTTTGAACAAAATGTCGTCTATAATAACAAATTTAGTTACCATAGACAACATTTAGGCTCTGGAAACGTCATCTAAAATGGTTGCATCCATGATTCGTCTGTAAATAACTTGGCGTTGTTGACTGTATTGACCCTGTAAATTGTTGATTTTATCAAACGCACCAACGTGATGTCTTCGTTGACTCATAAGACCCGACACATCCCTAGAACTGCTAGATCGTATGTCTACGTGTTCTCTTCCCTTGGGACTTGTTGGATGGTATATTCGTCGAAACAAGTTGTCACAATTTTAACGATGTCAAGGTTTGCCATCATTTTTGGATTATTTGCTGCATATACACAATTAGTTTGATCCACAATAAAAAAAGACGTTATTTACCTAGAGTAATTTCACCCTTGAATCTTTGGCAACATGTCCGACTTCGATATTTGTGGCTATGAAATGAAAATGAGTTGTTTGTGAGATATTGTCCCCTTGTGGCAATTTTCGTAGGTCCGCTTCCCGATTAGAATAGAACTTACCGTTTGTTTCTTGAATTCCACCATTAACGCTGGGCTATAATCATCCATGGACGATAATTTTTCTTGCACGAGTTCTTACAGATGGTGCCAAATAGTTTAAGCTATTTTTCGTAAGCTAAACTACGTAATATGATTTGTATATTCGGAAACAACAAATCAATTGGGTATCGTGCAAAAAACAAATAAAAATAAGGAATCAAAGAAACAATTGATCAAATATCAAATCCTTAAGAAATTTGGATGTATTTCATATTAGTGTTCAATGGTTGTGTGTCCTTACATCAAAGCTCCATTAACTTAAATAGCAAGAGTAGGGTTTAAATACTTTAAATACTCTTTGTGATTGCATTGCTTTAAATACTCTCACCAAGCCACCAATCCATTTTGTCGATTCTGATGTGTCATCCGAGAGAATAGGCCTCCTCCGTAACTGCTTGCACGTTGTACGTTTCTTGGTTGGCTCTTCCGTTTTATGTCATCACAATGTTATGTCTCGATCGTTCCGTCATTGACATATGGTTTGTTCCATCACTGACTGACGATTTGGTCCGACGGTTTAAGACCCGTCATAAATAATAGTCAACTATAATTTCATAAATAATAGTCAACTATAATTAACTCTACCCTTAATCATATTAATGACCAGATTAATGCATAAAACATCACAACGGCCCACATTATGTTCATCATCTTCCATAATCAATTCTCATAAATGTAGAATCAAACCGTCAAATATTTGGTCCAAAAGGTTCCATAACATTTTTTTTATTTAACGCTCTCATGGAAAAATGACAAGATTATTTAGACAATAACTAAATAATGTAATTTGAGTATAAAATGATGTTATAGATGTATTATTCTTAATGCTTTATGATTAAATGAAGCTAAACGAAACTAGGCGTCGACGATTTTGCGCGGCTCCATAAACCTAGCCGACAATCGTATAACAATAATAATTAATGATGATAATTATTTGAACTTTTTTATTTGAATAAAATTATTAGTTATTACGTACTCTATTAACAAAATTAATAACTTGAAAATCCATACCAAAGAAATCACATATGAATGTTTTTTATCTAATTTTTTTAACACGTGATCTAATCAATCACCGGTTCAGTTTGGGTTCTAGTTCGATTCACAAACATTTTATAATCCTCATTTATCCGATCCAATTAAAAACCTTCTCAATCCAACCCAATTCCACCTAACATGGGCACTTAGCCCATCCAATTCCGCAAATTATATTGTACATTCGGATGTACCGTAGTCATGGTACAACCAGACTTTTTGTTCGCTGCGCACTGCTCGTCATATCTCAGAGCTTCATTCATATCTCTTCTCCCCCACCTCGCGCGGCTCGCCACTTCCTTGCCACTTGGATGGCTTCGCTCGCCTCTTGGATCTGCGATGATGGAGCTCTCAACGGAGGAGGCTATGGTGGATTTCGCGACTGACTGCGGCGACAGAAGGACCAAATATCAACCCTTACTCCTTTTTTTCTCTTTTTCTTCTTTTTCTTATACAGGTTTGGTGAGTTTGGTAGCTGTTTGCAACGCTCGAGAAACCTAAGATATACGAAGTATACACGTAGTTTTAGTGATATGAGTGTACACATATGAAAAGTTGAGCACATGGAGATTTAAATGAGCTTTTTAAAGTGTTCGATGCTCATTTCGTAATTTATGTATGCTCACTTGATATTAGTTTAATACTCAATTTAAAATGTTATATTCATGCATATTTCAAAAGTATAATATTACATTAAATTTACATATTAGATCTATACACGTTCATTATAGATATATTTTAAAAAATAAGAAAAATAAAGTGAATTAAAAGACACGAAGCCGATATCGTGATACTCATTATTAGATTCTGAATACTGAGTAGAATATATCTCATACTCATTGAAAGTGATTTCATGCTCAACGAATTTTACTTAAATTACTAAAATGTCACTAATTATAACCTGCTAAGGCCTACATACTGCTGCTGTACTTTATACGGACTCACCCGATTCCCACTCTGATAGTACGCTCTTTAAACTTCATCTTTCCATAGTACACATCTCTTGGTCTCAGATGATTCACTGATTTGATCTGACGGTCCAGAACGGACTCTGTATTTCATCTCGATTTGCCTAGGTTTTGGGTGCTGAAGTCGTCGATCTGTTCGATACGAGTTTGGATCTAGTTTTTGGTGACTCACTCTTCTCTGTTCTCAAGCTTATCGCGATTTTCGGTATTCTTCTACGCTTTCCTTATAGCTCGTTTAATTTAATCCGGATTTTGGGATCTTCAGCTATTATATTTGATGTTTTTAGTATGTACGCCATCTTTCAATATCTCCTTTTGGTTTGAGATTTTATTGTTTACGTTCGAGTTTTATTCAAAACACAGTTATAGTTTCTTTTATTCTCCTGAGCCTTGAGATATGGGGGGTGTCGAGTTTTGACTTGTTTGACATCCCCCATCCTCACGAGACGCGTTGACTTCAGTAGAATTTGAACTTTTCGTTCCGTCTGGTTAATCATTGAATCGATTAGATTATATGCTTCTGCAGGTTGGATGGAGTGTGGAGATTCAGTCGGCATCGCAGCCATGGTTATTCAGCATACTCTGCTAACGTGCACCGTGGACGCTTTAACTTCCTCTCTTCTCAGCACACAGCTCCTCTCCCTCATGCAGGTAATGACGAGGATGTTACTGAAGTTGATAGACTTCATATCTGACCATCATTATACACAGTTTTTCTGTTTTCAGGCTATCTTGAACCGCTAGGTTTGAATCAGTTGCCTATCCTTTAATGAAATGATATCATCTTCCATATGACCATCTGTGTGTTTGACCAAGTTTTTTGAAACAAAGCATATTTTTTGTTTGAAGACCATTTAGCGTTTGTACAACAGTTCTTTTTATTGAGGGTTTTGAACAACTGAATTCATAACAAGGATCTTGTTTTGTACATTTTCTGTTTTTATCTCACTTTTCTGAAAACAGAATCAAGAAAGTACGTCAACATCAATGTTCTTGTTTTCACCTTTTTAAACACAAAGAACATTTAGAGTCTATAATAATTCATATAGATCATGTATCCAAAAATAGATCCACAAAGCATGTGTTAGAAATTTAAAAATGGATAATACAGAACACAAAACAGGAAACATTGCCAAACAATTAGAGTTTATTAATTATCCTTCGATAAAATTGAAAGAAAATGAAAGATGAGGCTGGCTAGAGATCATTTTGATCCTAAAATAGCAAAATATGAGGTCAAAAAGTTATAATTTATAGTAGCTTTATTTCACTGTTTTGAACTATCAGCACAAACCAAAATACTTCATCAATTTCTAAAGCTTCTAGTTTTGCTTAATGACATTTGAACCATCAATGTGTAGTCAAAGACTTATGAAAGTGATCATCTAATAGAGGTGGGTGGGTTACACCGCCCACTTGTATTTGCCTCACCAAATTAGTGTAACCTATTGTTTAAGCTGAAGTGCTAAACTATGTGAAATTGTGAATATAAATTGAATATACGGATACAAACAAATAATTAGGGTAACACACAAGAATTTAAGAAATACTAGAATCTGAGAATATTCTGGTAAGAATGGAGTAAGATTCAGTATGAATTTCAGAATGAATGTTCTCTTGTTTAGTATAATGTGCGTAGATTACAATGTGAGTTCTTCCATGGGATCTATTCTATTAAATAGCTGAGTTCGGACAGACTTCCGATCAGCCCTTCAGCTTTCTGACGATTTCGCCACGAGGCCACCAATTTCAGAAACGGTTGCACCGTTGCTTCCTTATCAGCGTATCTCCCATCCTTATTTGCACATCCTCCAGCTAAAAATATTGTTTCAACATGTAACCGCTGCCTTGGATATTATTTCCATTAATACCCTTATTTATCGTTACAACAAATAATACTCAATTAATTTATGTCACAACACCTATATTAATCAAAGGATTTTTAATCCCATTTTGTAAAAAACATGTTGATTTATTAAAATATGAAAATGTTATAATAAATGTCTTAAGCACCTTAAGATTATATTTTTATAATCTTTGCATGCTATTTTTACTTCACTAATTTTTACTTTTAAAATACAACAAACAAGCCTTGGTCTCATTGCAAATTTGCAATGGGGCCGACTACGTGAGCAAATAGAAATCCACTATGATCATCCACCGAAATTATTATTTCTTATTCCTTTTGGTCATGCACCATATGCTAAGGCTCCCCAATTCTACCCGTCTTTACATCTTCAATTCAAGTATTTTTAGTCTATCTCGACTTTTCTTTGAGTCTTTCACACATCTCTCTGTAGTGGGACACATACTTTTCAATGGCTAATGTGTTCACGTCCATCCTTTTGTTAATATCCTGGTTGGACTTAACTTATTGTAAGTCCTCGTGTGTCCATCTCGTGTCTCTCCATAATTCCAATCTAGTGTTTAAGCAACTTAGCACATCACTTCCGATGTATAAAAAATTACGATTGCAAATAACAATGGGCTCGGTGTTGATTGACATCGTTTATTTATGCTAATGAGGACAAAAAACACATAATGTGAAATTTTTAAATTGAAAACACAATTAAAATAAGAATATTAAATAGTTTGAGCATGCTTATCAATGATGGTCTTGTTTTTAATTTAAAAAAATGATGGTCTTGTTTTGAAGCTCTCAATGAAATGTTTCAAATGTTATTAATTAAAAAAGGGAATTTACATATTTACTACATAGTATTTATTTAGAAAAATTCTGAAAGTTAATTTATAATACTCCCTCCGTCCCAAAAAGGATTGCTAAATTGAATTTTGGTGGTCAATGATACTCAAGTTTGACAAATGATATTTTTAATACGAAATAACTTTGAATATGAAAATTATGTTAAAGCACCAGGTACCTGGAGTTAATTTTCAGTTATTGGCTGTGTGATGCTTTGATGCACATGATGCTTGGTTAGGAGGTATGGTATTCCACTTAGATTCCATCAGTAGAAAACAAACAGGCTCGATCAACCTCAGTTTGCCCAAAAAAAGAGGCTAACGTAATTTTAGCTTACCTCAAAGGACCCTCTGTGTAAAGAGCAGTCTGCAAGCTTTTTTATGCTTTCGAGTCTCAAACTTCAGCATGGGACATGTTTGGAAGTTCGATATGAAGAGGCTAACATAATATGTGAACATATTATGTTAATCTTTTCATTTTTCATAAAATATCAATTGCAAGTCCCAAGCCATGATAAAGGAGGAGGATGCTGTGGTAGGCGTGTGACGGCCAACAGTATCACCTAGTCAAATCACATGACATGAATCGAAATATGAATATAAGCATTATTTGTATCCTTTTTATTTTATCATTTTGTGTATATTCATCTCTTTTTATGTTATCTGTTTATAATAGCTTATCTTTTTTATCTTTATTTTCTTTCTTTTCCTTTTGGCGTTGATATCATGTATCGATTCATGTTAGCCGACCCCAATATTTTTTGGGACTAAGGCTTGGATGTTGTTGTTGTATAAAATATCAAATGCAAGTACATTCTAACTTTCTAAGATATGGACTAAGCCCTCCAAAGCCTTACCTTCAAAACCCCTTTGAGTGCTTATATCCAAACAGGCTCTAGAGTATTTCATTGCATGCAAGCCTTAGGGAGTGCGGAAGATTAAAAAAAGTACTTCTTAGCTTTTGGCTTAAAAAATGTGAAATCAGTGTTTTCAAACACCAACTTCTACTTAAAAAAGCATTTTAAAGCTGGAAGCTGGTATTTGGTTGCTTCTAGGCTTTTTTGTAAATAAATCGAACTCCAAGGGCATTTATAATGGCAAATCTATTCATACAAAACCCAAAATGTCCTTGCTTCTTGTGCACCCCTCCGTGACCTACTTCATTTCATTTGTCGACTCCATCACCGGACTTCAAGTTCTGTTTTGCTTCCTTCATATATTATATATATATATATATATAAGGTGCGGTTCTAATGAGAACGATGCTTAACGTGAGAACGTGAGAACAAATCATAGCTTTTGATCCGGAGAAATGGATGGTTCATTAATTGGAAGGTGCATAATAAAATCATACACCGTTTCACACACACACACATCTGACAAACTAATTTGAAGATGCATCGCATGATTAAAGGGTAAAAAGGTCAAAGTATGGAGGTTATCACTTACGTAACATTAGAAAAGATAAATGGTCAAATCATATAAATTGGTTTAGTTTAAAAATTGATCTAACTTTTTAAATTATAATCTGATTTCAACAAAAATTATATCAAATTAAATATTTTTTTTTATCTTTCATATGACACCAATATGTCATATATAATTTTGTTTCAAAAAAATAAGTATAATATGTATACAATAGACCATAAAAACATATTCAGCTACCGCATGCACAACAATATGTATCTAACACACAACTAATATCCAATGCACAAGAACAAATATTTAACACACAATATGTATAAGAAAAACTAACACAAGTATCTTAAGCACAACATCCAATATCTGATGCACAAAGAACTGTATCTGACACACAACAATTAAAAACTAATTAGTATCTAGCGCATAAGGATTTCACACAACTTAAACTAATATATAACACATAAGAATCAATATCTTATGCACAATATGAATATATGCTCAAGAACCTGTACCTAACATATACTCATAATATATATAATCACAATAAGTATTTACTGCACAAGAGTCGGTATTTCACAAACATCTCTAACTACCGCACAAGAACTTGTATTTAACACACATGACTAATATTCTAACGGAAGATCAATATTCTCACTTTGAACGATTAATATTTAACGCACTCAGATTACAACATTAATAAAAATGGAGATATGGCTCACGTTGAACAAGGAAAAATAATGGAATGTAATTATTCCATTCCTAAAATAACTCCACGTTAATCAATCATGGTAGTTACCAAAAATACTACCCAAGAGTATAATACAAAATTGCCCTTATTATTTTAATCAATTCTTACGTGAGATGCATCCAAATGAAGGGTTGTGATGTGTTCTCACGTTCTCACGTTAAGACTCGTTCTCATTTGAACCAAAATCTATCTATCTCTCTCTCTCTATATATATATAGGGAAGAGTTCAAATAAAAAGAGGTGCTTCCGTGCAAAGTGCAAACGATTGCACTTTTTCCTCACCGCGTATCACTATTTCATGTTTCTGTTGCACTTTTTCGCGGTGGCAGAAAACTTCGATTTACTTACGAAATTGCCACCGCGTTTTTGATCAAATTTAGTGCATTTTGAGCCATAAGATCTTAAAATGAATGCACAAGATTAATTCTCACTTTGCATGGGAAGACCTCTTTGTATTTGAACCCTCCCCTATATATATGTGTGTGTATATCAATCACATAAAGTAGAAGAAATCCACACCCTCCTCTCTTCTTCGCTGCACTTGCTTCGTGAGCTCTCATGCTTTCCAAATTTCGATTCAATTAATAATTGATATTCTTTATATTGAAATACATGAATATATATATATTCCAGACAGGAACAGCCGTCCGGACGGCAGCGTTTCGGCCTTTTCCTGGTCGACTTTTTTGATGAAATTTTTATGGCATGTTCTTCATCTAGTCTAGTTTATCCACAAAAAAATTCAGCTAAAAATTCAATCGGGAAGGCCGTCAAATAATTTTTGGAAGTTAACTGCATTTTATATGTATATTTTGGTGCAATTATCTTCCAAAAATCATTTGACGGCCTTCCCGATTGAATTTTTGGCTGAATTTTTTTGGGGATAAACAAGTCTTGATGAAGAACATGCCATAAAAATTTCATCAAAAAATTCTATCGGGAAGATTACTCTATATATTATATATAGGAAGCAGATCAGGTGAGAAGTGTTCTTAGGTTGAGTACTGCGAAGTAATTTAAAAAGTTGTAAAAGTTAAACATTTGGCTTTATAAGTTATATTTAACGTATTAATAGTTCCTCAATTTATCACTATATAATTATCATTAGGACATATATGTCTTGGTAAATAAATAAATATCCTTTTGATTAATATTTTTCAACAACTACTAGTGTTTTCATTGTAATCTCATACTTCCTCAATTTATCACTATATAATTATACTTTTGATGTGAGTTGTTGGATTTATAAGTTATGATTTTTGTCATATAAGTTACCTTATTGTCTCTATTAGTTAAACTTCGCAGTTCTCAATCTAAGACACACTTCTCACGTGATCTTTTCCCTATATATATATACTTTTCATGAATATATATATATATATATATATATATATATTCATGAGAAGGTTACCAGGGAGTGCGAATATCCAAAAGCTTATCCAAAATTGGCGATTCAATTCATATCCAAAAGCTTACTCAAAATGGAATTGAATAGGCGATTCATGTCTTCGAATACATGAATATATGTATTCTATATCTATTGAGTGGATATTCACATATTTTAATTCCTATTCACATTTAATATTTAGAAGGTTAGACTTGTACTTTAATAAACTAATACATCAAAAATCAATTTTTTATCAAACACTCTAACTTTAATTTTTTAACAATAATCACTTTTATCTAACCCTCCTGAACCGCCGCCATGCTGGAAAAGGGTGATTAGGGCTCGGAACACCGCGCTGGAAGATTGGTTTCAGCGGCACAATAAGTTCATCCTGCTTAAATTCATTGTCCCCATTTTTAGCCTGTTTTCGAAGAAATTAGTTGCTATCATTTTGCTTTTCGTATTTGCTTATGGTAATAGGTTTTTTACATAGATCGAGGGTTTGGCTAGATTTGATATTGTTAGTGGGGGACGTATCTATGTTTTCAGCATTAGCTGCATTAAGCCCGTCTGGTGGTTAGCGATTCGTATTGCTCCTTTAGGGGTGGTCGTCTCTATGTCTAATCGTAGGGCTAAGAGTAGTATTTGAAGGTGAAGGTTGTTGTCAGTTCTGGTCATTTTGAGATTGTTGTAACGATCCTGATTCTAATGATATCAATATAGTCGTTTTCCTTTCAAAAAAACAATAATCACTTTTATTCTAAAACACTATCAACTTTTACAAAAAAACACTCTAAAATCACTTTAAAAAATCACTTTTTAAAAGCAAAAGCAATGACAAACACTCCCTTAGCCCAAGTATTTGTTATATGTGTGCTGCTGAAGTCATTACAATGCATCATGAACTTTATAAAACAGATTTATTTACTTGAAGTCATGAACACATGGAATAAGTATGTAGTTTGCTTGCAATGTTTTCTTGTATCACAGAATAAATCTTGAAGTTCGCCTGTTTCCCCTTTTAGGGTTACATACAGCTAGTCATGAACAAATCTAAAGTTAGGGGAGACCATCCTACATCTTGCCCCTCTACCACGCCTATGGATGCTGGTAGTGATGATGATGATGATGCTGATGAAGATGACAATGACGATGATGATGATCAAGATGAGGAGGCAGGGGACAAGGGCAAAGTTAATGTGCCAAGGGAAGATGAATACAACAACACTGATGGCGATGATTCTGACGAGAACAATGGGGACGAAGAAGAAGACGATGAAGATGATGAAGATGGTGACGGGGATGATGGGGATGAGGGAGAAGAGGATGAGGAGGAGGTGGAAGAAGAGGAGGAGGAGGAGGAGGAGGAGGAGGAGGAGGAAGAAGAAGAAGAAGAAGAAAAAAAGGAGGAAGACCCAACGCCACTAAAGAAGGAAGAAGAGACCGACGTCAAGAAGAGTGAAGCCCCGCTTAAGAAGAAACCAGAGCCACTCCTGTCGGAACCGCTGGCAAAGAGGCCGAAGACATAACTGGATTAGATTTGAAGGCGGCATATTTGACTGGACCCACCTCTTCTGAAGAGTGTCTATGCCACTAGATGTTATTCAAGCTGCTGGTATCCTGAGTAGAAAATAGGAGAGCTCCTACTACATCTGTATTTGGTTTCTCGTAGCACTTTAAGATCCTTTTTTCCTTGTCTTTCAATTCTCATCTTTAGAACGTGTCTTCACTGACCAAGTGACCAAGTGACTAAGACATCAGTCCTTACATTTATACAGTGAAGAAAAGTGTTACAGAGTTTTTAGATTAATAATCTTTTTAGTATTTTACATCAAATCTTTGCATGACTATTTTTAGGTGCTCCTAAATTAAACACATCTCTGAGTAATGTTTCAAGGACACAAATGACAAACCCTTACACTAGGGGTGGACTCGGGCCGGGCCAACCGGTCCGGAACCGGCCCGCTACTGTGCGGGCTCGGACCGGCCCGGTGAACCGGTTGGTTGGCCGGTTCGGGGCACCCAGCCCGGTGGGATGTCGGTTCGGGCTCGGACCCTTCAAAAGGTGAACCGGCCGGTTCGAGCCCGGCCCGGGCCATTTTTTTTTTGATTTTTTTTTAAGTTTTTGGGTTGGGCTGGGTATTTTGGGCCATTTGAGGTGGTTAGGGTTGGTTTGGGGGTGAGGGGGAGGGTTGGGGGTTAACTAGGAAAAGCCAATAAAAAAAAAATAGAACCGAGGCCCGGCCCTGCCCGGCCCGGCCCGGACCCGGGGGTTACCCGGGCCGGTTCCGGGCCTCCCCTTCATGAACTGAGGCCCGAACCGGGCCTGAACTGGAACCGGTCCATCCCTACCTTACACGAGTGTTGAGTTTGTCTCTCGTAGGGATGGCATGCAATCTGGTTCTAGACTTGCTGGTTACGATTCTGAAAAGTGGTGACCGTAAACTGATATGGTGTGGCAGGGCGGAGCGGCGGAGAACTAGAACCGGGTGGTCTGGTGATGGCATTGAAGAATTAGAACTGGACCATGATATTATGGGTTAAGCTTCGGTGATGAGGAACATGTTCACTCTTGTCTTTGCGGACTTCAATTCATTATATGGTCTCACATATCTCCCCTCTATCTACTTTCAGAATTAAGAGTATTGTGAGCGGAGTATCATTGCATACTTGCATGAGTTGCATCAGTTCATTCAGTTGCATGATACTCTCTCGGTCCCTTGCATTAGGAATATTGTAAATATGAATAAAATTTCAGTTATGCTTCATGTTTTAAATTAGGGGTGGACTCAGGTCCGGGCCGGGTCCGGGTCGGGCCTAGGCCCGGGCGGGCCGGCGGTTCAAGAATGGTGGACTCGGGACCGGCCCGGGTAGCCACCGGGTCCGGGCCGGGCCGGGCCGGGCCTCCGTTTTTTTTTTTTTTTTTTGCTTTCCTAACCCCCCCTCACCCCCCACCCTCCCAAACACCCCCAAACCCATCCTACCCATCAAGCCCAACCCGGGTGGAACCCCAAAAATGAAAAAAAAATAAAAAAAATTCAATTTGGCCCGGGCCCGACCCGGCCGGGCCGGTTCACCAAAATTGAGACCCGAGCCCGGACCCGCCCTACCCCCGGGCCTAGGCCTGACCCGGACCCGGACCCGAGAACCGGGCCGGTCCCGGTCCCGCACAGTAGCGGGCCGGTCCGGTCCACGGGCCGGGTGGCCCGACCTGAATCCAAGCCTATTTTAAATTGCCGGTGACAGAGATATGTTTTTTGGCTGTGCGAAAAACATTTTTCTTCACAAAACGTCGATCAAATTGTCTGTGCATAGGCAATTTGACCTTCACGTGAAATAGCGTGTACAAGTGCCGTGTACAAATAATATTAGTGATAAAATTTTGTGTAGCTACGCACATCAAAGTGCTAGTGGTAACTTATGTATGCTTTTGTGAAACTAGCATTTTTATGTAAATGACGTATAAAATATGTAAAAATGTAAGAACAATGTGTAAGATATACTAATATAAATAGACAAATAGTGTGTATTAGGTGACTTGCATTATAAATGATATCATGAATGTTTCGACAACACGCGATGAACTTGTAAATGTAATGTTATTTCTTAATATAAATGTTAAATATTTAGTGTAAATGACTTTATATAAAGCTTATACCATGTGGGTGTCAAATATGTAAATCTAATACATTTTTATGTAAATGAAGTACTGTTTGTTGGTATACAAACTATATTTTCAGTTTAAACGATTATACAAAAATATATTTGTACGAAAGTTTTATTTGGTTTGTGTAAATGGTTTCATGAATAAGTACTGCTACGAAAATATATGTGTAGTTTATTTTTTGAGAAAATTACCATTGTTAAGACAAAAACATAGGCTTTTTCCCAAACCATTCCATTTTTGCTCCCAATTAAATTAATTAATTAATTAACCCAACTAATTGCCCCCTAGTTCTCTTGCACAATCAAGACAGTTCGTTGGTAGCGGCGACAGTCCGGTGGTGATGGCAACTCGGCGACGGATTAATTAATTGACCAATATAATCCCCTTAGTTTCCTTGCACAACCAAGGCAGTCTGCCGGTGGCGGGGCTGTCCGTGGTGGTGGCGGACGACGGTGGATTCAGGCAGCGGCGGCGAACTCCGCCGCCGGCACCGGTGGCGAACTCCGCCTCCGGCACCGGCGGCGGCGCCGCCAGTTGGCGGAAGAAATGATGGCAGACTGTCAGGGAAAAAATGTGAAAGTTTTACGGCGGCCGGTCTGGCAGCGGCAACAGGCAATAGTCTAGGGGCAACAGTGAGAGTATTTTGGTACAATCACACATAAAAAAAATCCTATTTAAGGATGTTTAAACTAATTGATCCTATTTTGAGAAAAAACATGTTTTGCTCCTATTAAGGTAAATCTCCCTTTATTTTTATGTAACATATAACGATGGACCTTGTTGGATTAAGAATGTAAATCAAACAAAGTGGAACTCAACCCAATCACATTTTCAAAAAAAAAAAGCCAACCCAACCAGCAGACTCTCCGACCACCCCAGCCGCTCTACCTCACAAGCTTGGGTAGACCTCATTTGTTAAAGGGTGGTCACGTGAACATCCAATTTTTTGAAAATAAAATGTAAAACGGCTATTAGTTCTAAATAGGACTACAATTAGCCCAAAATTCCACAATAGTATTATACTAGTAATTCTTTTATTTCTAAAATAAGGCTAATTTCTGTCCTTTTCATTCTACCCCATTTCTAATAGAACTGTTAATATGAAAATAATTGTTTTATTAATACAAAGAACAATAAATTTAGACTTGGTGAATGAAACAAGGCAATTTATACCCTGCAACCGGCGCACCATGAGGATGGTGCGCCCGGTTGCAAAACGACGCAGCTTCACATTATTTTTTATTTCTTTTATTGTTAAAAATTGTAATAACTTTTTTATTTGATATCCGATTTTTATAAATTTTATATCATTTTTTTTCATGATCTATCAAATGAGACCAATATTGCTTATATAATTTTAACTAATTATTTTGAAGTTACATTTGATAATATATCATGGAGTTACATCTTATTGTACGCGAGTTACATCTTAATATACGCGAGTTACATCTTAATGTATGTGAGTTACACCACGAAATAAACCCCTGCTACATCTTTCATTTTTATCATTTGAAAAATAGTGTATGAATATGAAATACAATATACTTATTTTATGTGGATTAATAAAATTTTGTATTAAATTGGCAAAGAAAAAAAACAATTCAGTTATAATTGAATTAGTTCAAGATAAAGATAAATAAAAAATCACAAATAATTAGATATAACTCACACATAATTACATGTAACTCGCGCATAAAAGTATGTAACTCGTGTATAACAAGATGTAACTCATACATAACAAGATGTAACTCACACGTAATTACATGTAACTCGCGCATAAAAGTATGTAACTCGTGTATAACAAGATGTAACTCACACATAACAAGATGTAACTCATACATATAAATTTGTAACTGGAGTATAAGATGATGTAACTTCGTATATTATCAAATGTAACTCCAAGCTAGAAGCAAAATAAACAAAATCAATATCTTAAAAACCTCTAAAAACATATAAAAGTGATAAAAAAATATATTATAGAAAAAGTGTATGCATATAAAAATACATTACAAAAAATGTATGAATGTAAAAAATTAAAATTACATAGGCAATATTGGTCTCATTTGAAAGATCATGAAAAATAAAAAATTTTGATATAAATTTTATAAAAATCGGATCAAAAATAAAAAAATTATTAATAATTTTAAGAAAAAGAGAAATAAAAAATAATAAAAGGTGCACCGGTTCCACGGTATAAGCTAAACAACATTTGCTCTTGTCTGAATCAATTGTTAAGTACTCCGTAATTAACTATGGAGCATAATGGTCAGAATTATCTGGATTAGGGTATAGCTAAGAAATGTTTTGATCATCTTGATATCGTAGGTGAAGAAATGAGTGATCATCACTGTCAGTCCGACTCATCTCATCTCATTCCTCCTTCTCCGATCACCGGACCCGTCACCAGTAGCAGTGTTGTCGACCTCGAAGCCGGCGCGGGAGACCAAATTCAGTGCCGAATTTGCCTGGAAAGCGACGGTGAATACTGATTTCTCCAACACCCTTCATTTCCCGGAGTTCTGTAAAATTTATCCTTTTTTTGTTTTGTTTTGATGCTATGCTCCATCTGCAATTTACTAGCGACCTAAGTGCAAAATGTAGTCATTTTTGGAATTGCTAGTTCATGATTGTTTTTCTCGATCTCCTTCTCTTCTGAGTTTTCTTTTAACTGGCCTTCTAAATCTCAAGAGTTGTAGTTGTAGACTTGTAGCAAATTTCCAATGTGTCCTACGGATTTCCTATGGAATCTATGAGCATTTGAAAAGATATGCAGTTTTGCTTTATTTTCCGAAAAAAGAGTTATGTTATTTGGTAACCTAGGCCATTACTTTAGCTCATACTCTGTTTAGTAAAACAAAAGGCAACTAAGGAGGTCTGGTAACTTTTCAAATAAGAAGTCTTTTGATCATAACATTGTAGTTTTTTGACTCATTGATTGAGTGTTGACTCACTTGACTGTTGAGGTGGTGATCATGTTTGTTCTATTTGTGATTGAATAATATTAGTTTCTCTTTTCAGGTAGAGATTTTATTGCACCTTGCAGGTGTAAAGGTACTTCAAAGTATGTTCACCGGGACTGCTTGGATCATTGGCGTGCTGTGAAGGTTAGTCTTGAATTCATCTCCTGCTCTGTAAATAGCATCATTTGTGTTTCTTCTAGTTCCTACATCATCCAATTCTTCTGTATGAGAGTTCAAATATCTCTTTGATGTGCTGAATTAAGGCAAAACATAATTACAGTGTATCATTTTCTCTTGATTTTATATAAGAGAATGTTCACATCTTGAGAATGAATAAATTCTAATTTTGAACACAATATGAAATGTTCTGATTTTTGTGTTTTTTTTTGCAGGAAGGATTTGCATTTGCACATTGCACAACATGCAAGGCTCCTTACCATTTGAGGGTCCATGGTGTTGCTGATAGGAGATGGAGGACTTTAAAGTTCCGGTTCTTTGTGACCCGAGATATTCTGTTTATATTTCTTGCAGTTCAACTTGTAGGTCATCACCCCTATGAGTTTCACCATTTTCTTATTCGCTTTTCAATATTACACCTTAAATTAATGATTCATTGATTTCAGTCTGCATCTCTCACTATCCCACTAATAGGTGATTAATTTTTTGGGCTACCTGGTATATCTAATTGATGCATATCAAAAGTCTTGGCTTCGCCTCGCTTGGGGATTTGACAGTGAGCTAAGTTTCTACTACATATGTGGTAAGCGTTTGTCATACCGGATACTATCTTTGTCTTTCTTTACTTAGATTGGTCCTCACAAAATGGCTTCATTATTATTTCATGCTTTATTTTGATTGTTACTACCACGGTTGCTTTATTTCACACTAGCACACAAGGTATATTTCCACTGTATATTTTTTATATTTAAATCAGAATAGGAAATGGAGTTGAATGGCTTCATGTCTGGGATTTACGCATGAAAATATACCCCGTAAATGGTTCTATAAAGGTTCGGACCTCTTGAAATTATGGTTAACAATTCGGAGAGGAGTGAATTTCATAGTAGGGAACCTGAAGTTATATATAAGGTAGTCCTTTACATCCTGTATTTTAAGAGTAATCATGTACTGAAGTTCCCTGATTGCTCTTTTCTTTACTAATAAGGATAGTTTCCTAATACCAACCTATCAAATCTTTTTCTCACATAATGACATGCTCTACTCATATTGGACTACAGTCCTTCCTGTCGTAGTACTCTGGAACATGGAGATATGGAGTTAATGTGGGTTAAATATAGATACTTTGTGTTTTCTGTTCTGGGAGCTATTGTATGGACTTCAGAGAGCTAGCTAGAGATCCCTTCTTTTGGTGGGCACATGGATTTGAATAACCTAACCAAACCAAGCATACCTAGCATGTCCTGCTGACCCACTTGGTAGAAGGGTCTGGGGAGGGTGATATGTACATATACTTTACCTCTACCCCAAACGTAGATAGAATCTTTCTGTGAAGACCCTATGGGAAGTTCTCAAAGATCTAAATTCTAAATTACAAACTTTATTTTTTCAATTCTGAAGGTTCTAGAGATTATTTTGCAGTAGAAAAATGGACATTCAAATTGAGTGTTGATAGGGATCAATTTACTTTATCGTCCATCAAACATCGTAAACCGCAACGAGACCATCAAATTGGCCGGAGGGAGTACATAAAATATACATATTCAGAAACTACTTTAAAAGTTTTATAAAGTCGCAAAAACTCAAATTTGATAAAAGTTCTATATACTCCCTCTGTATTTAAAATTTCCCTACACTTTCCTTTTTGGGCTGTATTTAAAAGTTCCCTACACTTCCATTTTTGGTATGTTTACCCTTTATAAAATACTCAACTATCCTTACTTTATATACTTTTTATCTTTCTCTTTCATACTTTTACACACTCTCTCCTACTTTTTCTACAATATTCACTACCCCTATTGTTTTACTCAAATAATGTGTCCAACCTAATGTAGTGAACATTAAAATACGGAGGGGATATAAAGTAAAAGATTAAGAACATTTTATGTTGATCGAAAAATAGTGAACGAGAACCTTTAAGTGGGACGGAGGTAGTCATATAATAAATCAAAGCCACAATACACTGAAAAATGTCAAGAATTAAGAAAAAAACCATGACTTAAATAGTTAAAATGCTAAATATAAATTAGACAATGACAATTAATCTTTCATCTCATTTAAATATAAATATTGACGTATTACTGGACCAAGAAATTAATGAGTTATTATACACACATATGTATGTATATGTATATTTGTAGTAAAATTAAAAAAATCATAAATACTTATATATTGAGTGGGGCAGGTTGGGGCGGGACGACACATGTCAATACTAATACCCGAACCTGCCCCACTTGCAAGACATGTCAGACCAGACCAGCCCCAAATGTCTCGAGGCAGGGCGGGTCCTTGCGGGCTGTTCTTTACATGCCTAGTTTAACAGGTGCGTCACTCGGTCTTCTGCGCACATGACAAACCACCGCGCGGTCTTTTCTATTATGTCCACACATCCAACGCAACATGCGCATCTCAATCACACTCATCTTTTGAATGTTATATTATTTCACCGCCCAACACCTCTACGTCGTACAATAGTGCAGGTCTAATTGCTGCCTCATAAAACTTATCCTTTAGTCTAATCGGCGTACCTCAATCATATAGACATCTTGACGCACTCTTCCATTTCATCCACCCTGTTTTGATTCTACACGATACATCTCCATTTAGTTCACCATTCTTCTTAATTATAGAATGCATATAACGGAACATATCATTGACCGATATCTCCTTACCATCTGGGGTAGTCCCGCGGTTACCACTGGTCCTACCTCCATCAAACATGCAATCCATATATTCAATCTTGCTTCGACCTAGTCTAAAACCTTTGTTCTCCAAAGTTTGTCGACATACTTTCAACTTTGCTTTAACACTCGATTGTGTCTCATCAATCAATACAATGTCGTCAGCAAACATCATGCATCACAATATATCTTCTTGAATTGATTTCATAAGTTCATCCATGATTATAACAAATAAGAAAGGACTCAAAGCCGATCCTTAGTGCACTCCAATAGTAATAGGGTAATAAGGAACTCTGCAGTATCATCACGTTGTACGTACATTTGCAGTACAATCCTCATACATATCTATTTGTACTTTTTCACTAAGCTATTATATTACCCAATTTGATGCTCAGTTTATTTTTAATGAGTTTACAACTTGAACTTTGAAACTTTATGCTACTCATCATGCTGTCTTGTTGTGACATTATGCAGGCGCACTCCTGTTTTTTGCTTTACTGGGCCTCTCTGGTTGCTTCATTACCTGTTATGACCGGAGAGTGCGGAATGATCTGGCTCAGCCATGTCGAGAAATATGTCTTTGCTGCTGTCATCCTGGGTACCATTTTCTTTTCTTCCATTTATTTTATTTTTCATTACATAAAAGATTTCTACGTACATAGCACATAAAAGAACCAATTTTGGTGTTTCTCCAATGATTTCTTGTATTTAATATTCATTTTCCTGGAAGCGGCATGCAAATGGTTTGTACGATTGTGTTAGCACACAACTTGTATGATATGTAGCTCTTCTGTCTTCACTTATTGTTACTTAACATTTTCTGTCTTTACTTGTCTTATTCTTGTGGATATACTTCATGAATTTGCCATATTTACTTCGGAAAGCAATTTGATCCAGTCATACGGCTTCTAAGAATCATGTTTTTCCTGTTGTAGAATCTGTGCAGACTGTCATTTGCCTGGCACACTTTGCATGTGGACTGACTGTACCGCATGCTTTGAAGGTTGTGCTAGTACTGCTAGTGAATGTGGTGGCTGCTTAGGCGGTGCTGGTGAAGCTGGATTGCCAGTTATGTTTATAATGGCATTGGTCGTGCTTGGACTATTTACTGTGATAGGTATATTCTATAGCATGCTAGTGGCTACAATGGTCGGTCAAAGGATTTGGCAGCGCCACTATCACATTCTTGCAAAAAGAATGCTGACAAAAGTAAGTGATCCCTATTTGTTATTGCTTCCTTCCTTTCGGGCTTTTCCTATGCTTACCTCCTTCCCTATGCTTACTGTAGGGCTGGTTTGGTTTGGGGATTTAATAGGGAATGCAATGGCAGAGTTGATTTATTTTTGTAATTTTTTTATTTCTTTGTGCTTAACTAAATAACCATGTGATTAGTTAGAAATTTAGAATGCTAGATCATGGAGGAAAGTGTCAGTTTGGTACATCAAGTTGTAAGCGGGGGAGTAAAGAGTACATCATTGTGCAATTGGGATTCAGAGGTACATTAAATCGCCAAAGCAGTGTTAATTTATTCCATCGGGCTATTAGGGAGTTTAAAACGCCTAGGTGGAAAGTATTAGCCGTTTGTGTGGTAAATAGTGGCATCCAAGTCAGCTTGAGTAGGTGACCTCTGACCTGGGCATGACATGACCTTAACCCGACCCGGTGACCTCGGCCCATTCGCAAAAACATCCTCCATGAAGTGAGCTTCGAAAGGCCTGTTTTCTCGAACCCTAAGAATCACCAATGGCTGGGAGAATGAGAACGTGAGCAGATGCAGCAGCCATGCACTTAGCGGAGATGAAGAACGCCTGGAGAAGCTGTTCCGGCCATGTCATGTTCCAGTTCAGAGCGGTAATAACAAAACTCATTCTCTGATCGCAGAACTTGCTGAATTCCTCATTGTAATACGTCGTCCCCTTCTTCAACACTTGGTTCCAGCTAAGGTCTCTCAAGGCCACAAACGAGGAAAATTGCGATTGGCGTTCTTCTTCAGTGTTGAAGTGCTTTGGTGAGCCGTTCTTCACGAAAGTGCAAATGGTACAAAACCGCCTTTGAGTACTTCAAATTTAGGGTTAATCTATACAGTTGAAGGAGAATATTCATGTTATCAGACAAATTAGAACCGTCTGTTTCTTCAATTCGAGAAATTAGGGTTTCGCAGAACTGCTCAACTATCACTGGGTTCGGGTCGGTTTGCCATATCAGTAATCCGTCTGCCACCTAGGCATTTTAAACGCCCTAATAGCCCGATGGACTAAATTAGCAATGCTTTGGCGATTTAATGTACCTCTGAATTCCAATTGCACAATGATGTACTCTTTACTCCCCCGCTTACAAGTTGATGTACCACACTGACACTTTTCTCCTAGATCATGTAATTCTATTTAGTTTTTTTTATCTTCCTTGCATTTCCAAATAGTTAAATGTATACTTCGGAAACTAGTGTCTTTAAAAATGTCGCCCCGCCCCATCCCTCCACTCGGAAATCGTATACTTTAGAACCAATAAAGCCCCAAAAGTCCATGCTTTGATAGAACTGTGCAATACCAACGTGAGACTGTGAGAGATCATGCATGCTATATGACAGTTTCTTAACTTTTTCTGGTTCATCACATTCTGTATACCAATATTTTGCTTGCCCGATGCTGTGTTTTAGGAATACGTTGTGGAAGATGTTGATGAAGAGATGACAGGATCCGATTGGGCACCACCGCCTCTCCCGCCAGAGCATGTTCATCAGCTAAAATCACTTGGACTTCTCTAATTTTTTAGGGTTCCAATATTGGGTGTGGTGAAACAGTAGAGAGCTAACTGCGAGATAATTATCCAACAGATGAAAGAGATGGTCTCTTTGTCTGTGATTCATCTGCAATGTTGTTGTAAGAAACCTTATCAAATTCTTCTTTTATCTGTCATCATACAATTCCTATTTTCTAATGTTATTTTCCACTTCACCTAGGCAAAGAAAAATCTCGTTTCTTTGCACCTGGTCAAGGGATCATAGCAGGTGAGTTTGTATGTATGATTAATTTGTGGGCGTGTGTTTTGGTTGGTATTTCACATTGTGTTTAGTAGTGAAAACTGTTGGACTATTATCTAGGTTGATCCAACATAAAACCTTGACTTAACTGGAATTAACTGGAAAATAACCGAATGCTAGAAAAGCATTAAAAGATAAATTGTAGAATACTTGAGAACAAAATGATTGTATGAAATTCTTAGATCATCCCCAAAGCATGACTGTCAGCCTATTTATAATGAACGCGGACTATTTAATTACAATGATTTTCATCATTTAATGAGCGTAAGCTGTCCCGAGATTAGGGTTGTAAACGAATCGAATCAAACCGAATACTTGATAATATTATTCGTATTCGTATAATTATCGAATATTCGTATTCGTATTCGTTTAAAATTCGAATCTTATTTTGTATTCGTATTCGATTCATTTGATATATTCGAATCGAATTCGAATATTCGAATTCAAAAAACATTAAAGTTAATTTGTGAAAATAATTAAAATTATGATGTTAGTTTGCCCCTTTTAACTAATTTTCATATTACATATTTTATAGGAAACAAAATTCATTTATAGAAGTCACTTCAAATTTAATATCAATATAGATAAATCAACGGAGAATTTTAATTGTAAATTAAGCTATTTTGACCTGGTAAAGTAAGAATTTTTAAATTAAAGAATGCAAAATATTTACATGAATATTTTGTTATTAATATTTTTACATTGAACTATATGTATTCATAAGAAGTAGTTTATATTGTATGAATATATATATATATATATATATATATATATATATATATATATATATATATATATATATATATATATATATATATATATATAATTCGAATATATTCGAATCGAATATCATAGTATTTGTATTCGTATATATATATATATATATATATATATATATATATATATATATATATATATATATATATATAATTCGAATATATTCGAATCGAATACCGTAGTATTTGTATTCGTAAAGTATTCGAACCAAAAATAGATTTGTATTGGTATTTGTATTCTACTTACTCGAATTCGAATCGACATTTTCGAATTCGAATCATGAATCGAATCAAAATTATTCGATTCGTTTACAACCCTACCCGAGATGACCGTTGTGTATTCTCAACCCGAGCTTTGATCGCTCGGTTCTTCGTAGTGCAGTTGACTGAACACTAACTGTCCGGTTACCTGGCTGACCATCCGGTTATCTAGCTAATATTCTCCATAAAAAAACCAATCTTAAGGATGCTAGAAATTCATAGTTGTAAAAGTTTGCAATGTTATGTTATTTTTATCTCTTTATACATGTGGGCTTTGGGCATGTGGTGATGTACTCCCTCCATCCCTCAAAATATTTGTACCAAATTAAATGCTTGTGTGCCTTTAAAATAAATACTATGGGTATGACACATTCAGAGTCTGTTTGGTATCACTGAAATGGACTGAATCGGCTTATTTTATTGAAATTTACAAAGTTTTGGTTGAAATAGTTGGATTGACTGATTCTACTTATCTATGAAAAGATTATATCTAAAAAATAATTTATTAATTAAAGAAAGAAAAAATTATATGTAAAATAGCTAAAATGATCTTCTACATTAACTTCGGCTAGGGGTGGATTCGGTTCGGGCCACCCGGCCCGTGACCCGGCCCGGCCCAGTACTGTGCGGGCCCGGCACCGGCCCGGTCGAGCGGTCCGGGACCGGGTATGGACCCGAACCGGTGGAAATAGGCGGGGCGGGCTCGGTGCTGGATTAATGTGACCCGGCCCGGGTCCGGTCTTAAGATTTTTTTTTTTTTTTTTTGGTTCTTGGGCTACTAGCCGTTGGGGGTGGGGCTGGGGACAACCCAAACGGCTATATAGCCGTTGGGTGGGGTAAAGGGGGGGTCCGGGGGGGTTGGGTGGTGGTGGGGGGGGGGGGGGGGTAAAAACCTATAAATACTCCTAAACATTTTTTCATATCTCTTCTCCAATTCTTCATAAATCCTATTCTTAACTCTCTACTCTCTAATTCTCTTATTCTCCAAAATATTATATTTATTATTTATATATCTATTTTATAGTTTATACTTAAGAAGTTAAGATGGAAAATCAAGATGCCATTATACGGTATAATTTTGATAAGCAGAAGGACCCGAAAACCGGGATGTGATACTCAATTTGCAAATGGTGCGAGAAAAAAATGTAGCATGGGGGTTTCAGGCGGATTCGGGATGACAATCAAGCATATGAAGTCATGTGACAAAGCCAAAGGATCGGGAGGTGCGGGAAGTTCCGATTGATTACAATTTTCAAAATGTTTATCTCTTAAAGTTTGTTTTAATTTTCAAATGTAGTTCCTATTTCATTTCAAATAAATGCAATTGAAGTTTGTTTTTAATACTCGTATAAAACTATAAAATATAAATTATATAAAAAAAATTAACCGGCCCGGCCCGAACCGGACCTGACCCGTGACCCGGGCGGGTGGCCCGGCCTGAACCGGACCCGTCCAACCCTCGGGCCGGTCCCGGGCCCATGTCATACAACCCGGCGGCCCGGCCCGGGCCCGACCCGGCCCGAGTCCATCAATAACTTCGGCCAATACGGCCAGAAAAGTAACTCCAATCTTTTCTTATTATTACACAATTTAGTGCCGGAATCAAAAGTTACGTTTTTCGTGAAAAATTGACTGATAAGTCGAAAAATAGGGTTACCAATCAGGCTTTCGATGTTTAACCTTTAAAAGAGTAAATAGAAACCAGTTGATTGATCTACAGCTGTACGCACGGCAAGAAACGAATTTGCCAAGAAAAATTTGTCTGATTAGCAATGCAATCGTTGTTATAGATACTCCATATTAATTACTCATTGCTAACAATGAGACAAGAGAAAGTGACACACAAATCAATAAAAAGAGGTTTATGTGGTTGATATTGAATTGATAAAGTACGAATAATGTAACAATGATTTATACCCATACAAACCTTACCAAATTTGATATGAGACAATCTTAATGGGATAGATCGAAAAGTTAAAATGGGACAATCTTGGCGGGACGGAGGACATAGTAAACCATTTGTATTTTATTGTTTGAAACTATATATTTTTCATGGAGATTAAGAAAAAGTAGGGATGATCATTAATGTTAAAAAGTGTAGAAAGTATGAGAGTATAAAAATATGAAAGAAATGATAAAAAAGTAAAAGAAATATGAAAGAGAATATTAATAAGTAGAAAATGCAGTAAACATACAAAGGAAGTGCATAAAATTGTGATTTATTAAACATTACTGATTATAATGCGAGTAGTGATTTTTTGTGATCATTATTATGTCCAAATTTACCATAGTGACCATGAAAGTATATTCATTAGTTATATTTTTAATTCATAAATATTATTCCCTCCGTCCCGGTCATTTCTTCCAATTTTCCTTTTTGGGCCGTCCCAATTAATTATTCCAACTTCCACTTTTGGAAAAAAATATGTGGTTCACATTCATTCATATTTTTCTTACACAACTACAACCATACATTTTCACTTTATTCCCACTACCTAAATTTGCGATACCGGTCAAAACCGGAAGCAATGATCGGGACGGAGGGAGTATTCAATAATATTTACGGAAGAACCTTGTTGAGGTTTAATCCCGTAGATCCGAAAGCCCAACACAGACTTTGGATATATCAGGAAATGTACAACAATTCGGTATGTATAAGAAATATAAAAGATCAATAATCGAATGCTCAAAAGCCCACTTGTATTAATTGACCTGTTTGATTACAAGGAAATTACCCGAATGGTACGTCAGATTGATGCTTAATACAAGAAACAAGAGTAATAAGGCCATTCTAGGGCTTGAGTATTAAAATGCTAACCCTTACAATGATATTTAAACCTTCTATTTATACTAATGGAGAGTATGAGACGCTTTATGCTGATTGGTCGATGTTCCACCGACCTGATCACTCATGCCTCCACTTGCTGATGTCGCCATCTGACATTAATTGCACCTGGCCACCTGCTGGTTGTCCGTTGCTCGAACGGGATAATGGACCCTGTAAAGCATTGTTAATTTGGCCCAAGTACGATGTATGACCCGAACCCTGTTCGGTATGTCTGTTTTCTGGGCCAGCCTTTGCTTGGCCCGAACCTCGTTCGGTATGAATATCTCACTGGGCCCACTTCTCATAGGGTAGTGGACTCGTTGTTTGGGCTGGATATCCTGGGCCTTTAATCCGGGTATTGGGCCTCCGGACCAATATCCCAACAAACCTCAATAAGATTTAAGAGTGGAAGTAGCATAAATTTAGAAATAAGCATTCTCTCATCCTTGATTTTTTCAACTGTCTAATATGATAACAATTAATTTCATACAATTGTATATTCCTACTCTAATAAACATTTGTATCAAATTCAAATGAAAGACAATGTATGATCACTTATGTATTTGGATAAGAGAAAAACTTCTTTGTGATGACTTCATTAATAAGAAAGAAATACTCCGTATTAAGTTACAATGCACAAATCTCCATGACTATAGCGCTTAGGCAGAAAACCAGCATTTCAACCCAAACAATTACCTTAGCTAAGCCCAGATATATGAGAAAAAATACATATAATTATAGATGTTTATATATTTAGACTGGTTGTGATCGATCTCAACAATAGGCGTATACACTGAAGTAATGGCAACTCTGGTCGATAATGTATGTGCAGTCGTCGGTAAAGGCTTTGATTTGTTCATTAGTAAGAGTTTGGCCCTTCGGAGTTTGATTAATGAATCCGTTAACGCAGTCGACGATCGCAAATGCCCGCCGCACTTCGTCTACTTTTCGCTGCGGCCCGCCGCGTTCAGTCGTCGATGGTGCGGGTGCTGGGGCTGGCGCTGCTATTTCATCTTCAGCAGCAGCAGCTTCTGCCAAGAATAAAATGGCAATCACAAAGACCATTCTCATCGCCTGCTTATAATTTTTACTCATAATTATATTGCTATATATAACTTCTCCTTTTACTTTCTCCCTTATCTTTTCACCCACCTTTATTATAATGAATTATTCTGT